TCTCTCTCTCGGTACGTATAGACGCCTTTTCTAACACTCTGCTTGTACTGGCTGTAACATTATACTTACATTGGTTTTTTGTGCGAGATTCACTCACAGGATCAACTAGGACTTGTTAGCTGATTGAATTACAAAATTTACCATTTTGTGCAACTCTAATAATCAGTCGAAAGTCTGCATTCAAAGTTCTAACCTCAAAGTGCTACTTGTCAACTATACATACTTTTCTTCAACAAGTCACAGCGGGATTGTCAATTAGTAGGATTACCAGCTGMGTCTGCTCACCTAAGTACGCCCACCTACAGATAAATAGGTCAGCTATTGATCATTTTTATCAATCTCTGGCGCATCCTAACCTACAAATCTATTGGAGGCATCATAAACAACAAAATCTGCGATTTTTGATATAAGTGGCGCCATCTCTTGGTTAAGATTGGTACTTGAATTGMAGTTAACGTCGGCAAAGTAGTTTTTCACGCCATCTATCAATCAAATTCTKAACTATAATTGATTTAAWGTCGACAACTTACCCACTTACCAACACTGCAGCTTTATTACCGTTATTACAGTTTCGTCGTGGTTTTGTTGAATTCATCTGATTTTTTACTGTCACTTCTACAATGTCTTCTAATTCTAATTCAAAAACCACTGCATGTATCTGTGGTAGCTGCGAGAGGGCTATCACTGGCAAAACCAAGCGTATTTCCTGTCTGCATTGCAATCTTACGCATCATTCTACTTGCTYMAAACTAAATAATGTAAGAAATACGGYYGGAGAGTTGACTCAGGTTTGTGACAGCTGCGTCGAAAGAACCACTCTGTTTTYCTTGGCCAATGAGGAAGGACCGCGCACTAGATCGAACTCTCAGTCATCTGCCGTTTCTGGATCAARAATGCATGCGCTTGGCGATTCKARGTCAACCACTCCCGATTCGCTCCTTGCTCAGTTTACATTTGGAGCCCATTCTATAGATTCTGCGTCTTATACACCAACCAACTTAGATATTTGGAAGAAACTGGAAACGTTGGTTACCGATTTGGGTGGATTTCGTAGCAGTATCAACCATGACCTCGCTGTACTGAACCAGAAAGTTACTCCTCTGGAACAGTTACCACAACTTGTTAATAGGATCGACGTGCTTGAGGGGCAGGTTAAACACCTGCAAGAAGAAAATAAATCGCTGCGTGACTTTGTCACCGCTAACCTACACCAACAAAGCACCACTTCAAACTCTTCGCTAGACCCTATGACATTATCGCAGAACAGCACTTTTCAGAGAAATACACCAGTCACTAGRCRCACAAATYCTGATTTTACACTAGTTATTAGTKGCATTGATTGCGGCAAYACGTCAAAAGAACGTATTAACATCAACCTCTTAGCTCTGAATGTCATACGCACCATCCGACCATCTATTGTCGAGCATGATATCGTTAGAGTGCGTCTTCTGAACAAACGTGGTCCTCCAGCTGCCACTGCGCCACCTGTATTTGTACCTACCACTACAATGACAACACCTTCTATTAACCAGCTGATCGATGTCCAACTCTCACAAATTGCCGCTGCTCCATCAAGCAATCGTATTACCATTGCAGTAACGTTGCTCTCTCCGGCGCTAGCAGAAGCTATATTGTTTGACAAAATTAAACGTAAAGTTCTCCGTTCATCTCAGCTTTCTCAGGATTSACTCATACAAGCTGGCTGCACTGTGCCTCTCCCAGAGACTAATATTAATATTAATAAATTACTGGATGGACCGACTTATAAACTCAAATTGAACATCCAGGCGAAGAAGAAGCAGCAGTCTACTCCTATGTTCTTTTATTTTATYAAAAGTGGATGCATATACGCGAAGAAGAAGAGTGAGGMCAYTCCTGTACTTATTAGCTYTACCAATGATCKTGATAATTTTTTAGCAATAAACTAGGCAACACTTTTTATTCACCGCTGCTTCCACTCAGTCAACCTACTATTCCTATCAAGCCACCTAGACAGCACAATCCATCTACCCTACGTAACCACCCCATCATCTCTGAAAACA